TCTTTCTGTCTCAGCTTCCTGGGTGTTGAGTTTACAGTGTTTGCAGTTTCTTTTCTTTTTTTGTGGGTGAATGTGTTCTGGCAATCAGACTCAGGCTTTGTGCAGGCTAGGCAAGTGTTCTCTTTTTTATTTTAGAGAGAAAAAACAACAAAGAAGCTTTGTATCATTTCTAATTTTTTTATTACTTTTTATTCTCTTTAATTATTTGATCAATTTGCATTCTTACATCTGGCAAGTGTTCTTTTACTAGCTGTGACCCCAATCCCTTAGACACTGATGTTTTGTGTGTGTGTGTGTGGATGTGTGTGTGTGTGTTTGAGACTGGGTTTCCCTAGGCAGTTCAGGCTGGCCTTGTACTCACTTTGTAGTCTAGGCTGGCTTTGAACTCATAGGAATCCTCCTGCCTCAGCCTCCCAACACACTGACATTTTTAAGGAGTGTAGAACAGTTGTTCTGTGAAAGGTTTCGCAATCTGAATCCAACCGATTGTTTTCTCATGATTATGGTTGTTTTATTATATCAGTTACCAGACTGTAATTTCATGTGAGAAAGAGACCAGCAGCTCCTGACAGCTAAGCACCTCAACACCAGTTCAGCCTTGGTGTTTCTTAGAGCTGGCCTGTCCTTCATTCCTGCGCTGTGCTGTACTCTCCTGTTGAACACAGACTGCTTCGCAGAACATGAACATTTGACAAAGTCACTGCAGGTGTTTGGATCAAGAAAAAACAAGACCACCCTGTAGTCATGCTGGAATGTAAAGAACTTGAGTAATTGTTTAAGTCCCCCAAATGATCAAACCTACCCTGGTCCTGCCTCTGTGAGGGCCTACTGCCTCTTTGTGAATGACAAGCTTAGCCTCACTTCGTTCTTCCTGAGTCATAGTGAGGTGCATTAAGAATCATAGACTCATAGAATTACGTAGATTTCATAGAATTATAAATTACCTCCACTTCCTGACAGCATGCAGTCTAGGGTAAAACTTCATTCCCTTGAAGTTGTCTTCAGGGCACCTAATATAAACCTCAACCATATAAGTCCTTTCTAATACGCTCACTGTGCAGCGCTTCCAGCTTCTCGGTGGTGAGCGTTTTCTCTGCTTGTGGGGAGTCATGAGTCTACCTTCTTTATTTAGAGGGGTGTTCTTGGTGTTCCTTGGCTTGAGGGAATTCACCTCGAGAATCTTGGCCTCTTGTTTTCTTTTTCCTCTGAATGTGTTTTTGATGTAATCAAGAATCATCAGCATCAACCATTTGGAGTGGCTTTGTATTGGTCAAGGATAAATTTTAGTTCCATGGAACTGGTTGTTTTAAAATCACTGACATTTGAATTTTTAAGAAGTTGTAAACTGCTGTATGTGAGTTGTTCTAAATAATTATAAATACAACTCAGAGAAAATACCAAAGGCAACTTATAGATCAGAGATAGAGGCTTTATTTCCAATGATTAACTGGGTTAGTTAGGATGTTTGAATTTAATTTTTCCTCTCACAGATTTTAATACACAAACCATTATGGGGTAATTTGGTGTGGAAGAATGACCTACATCTATTACATGGACACTTGGAATACATGATGTATATTACTACTAGAAAGAATTGGTTTTGCATTTCCTGGCTCTGCCTATAATTTTTTACTCTGTCACAGGAAAATAAACGTTGGCACTATGAGTGAAAATGGAAAGCAGCAGTGAGAAGAGCACTGTCTGCTTTCTCACGCTGTTGCTGCCTTTCAGGTGAAGTTTTGAGAATAGTTACCCCGGCACTGTCTGCGGTTAGGATGGCTGTGACTATTGCTCCCTTTTAAGAAAATGAAGAAACTAGGTGGTGTTCTATGTCTACATAAAGGCCAGTAGTTATTACGTTACAGTCCATCTCCATCTCCTTGTTTGTTACTGATACTACTTTTTTCTGTTATTCTGAAATCTAAGACAGGACCGGACAAAGAAGTACATATGTTCTTTCATCATGTTTGTTCTGATGATAAGATTCGATGTAATTGAATTCGATGTAATTGAACCATTTAATGCATATGCCATTATTTTTTGTTGTATTCCACTTTGAAAAAATATTATAATTCATCTCTGCTTGTCCAGGGGCAGTGGAATAGAAGCACGTAGATCAATAGAATTATCACAAGGACGAGCTTTTGACACATATATTGCATTGCTTAAGCATTTAGTCTAGCTGAATGGAGAGGTGAGATGAATCATATTAGGATTGAAGCCCCAAATTTTTATATATTTGTTTCAAACAGAAATAAAATCTTTTTAGGTGTCTTTAATTATTAAGAAGTCTTCCATTAAAATGTCTCCACAGTAGTTAATGTGTTTGAAGATGATACAAGTTTTTTTTACACTTCAACCCACAATCCTTCCTGTGGGTTGAAGTGTAAAAAAAGATTGCATTTTTCTGGGTTTCCATTCCAAGATTATAGCTGTTTACAGAATTACTGATATTAATTCACAGGCGGCAGAGTTGACTATTTTTGAAGTATAATTACATTGCACTGTAGTCAGAGACACAGGTTCACACTTCCTTAGACAACAGGAAGAATAGTGAGCACTTCATCTGTGTGGCTGGTAGATTTTTCCCAAGATTGAATAATTTATATCATTTTCAGGCCAAAGAATTTGCTCTACTTACTGGAATTTTTGGAAGTTTGTTTTTAGCTAATATTAGGTAGGTAATATTAGTAAGCTCGGAGTGTAAATTTAAATTTGATATTGGGAGGGTGGAATTTAATTGTGGCATATGAACTGAGAACTAATAGGGAAGCTGATTTAGCATCATGGATTATACCAGGCTTGGTTTCTTGTGGCAAAACGTAAGGGAGTCAGTCTCTTCCCATAGACAAAGGTCTGGAGGGGGCTCGGGTGGCAGCTTCAGGGCCACCGGGAATCCCTGCTCCTGCTGTGTGGCTCTGCCCTTTTCAGACATCCACTTCAGGTCCTTCCTGAAAAGGGGAAGGGACAGAGGAAGGGACAGCGGATGGGGAGAAAGAGTAGGGGAGGGTATGTATCAGCTGTCCTTGAAGCGGATTTCTGGGAAGCTATCCTTGAACTTTTGTTTGTGTGATACTGGCCTGAGCTTGGCCCATGTCCACACCTGACTCCAAGGCAGTCTGACAGTTGTTGTCTTTTATGGACTACAGCATATCCAGTTAAAAACTGAGGCTAATTTTGCTAAGGGTCAAAGTAAGAACAGGAATTTGGATAGCAGCTGGCAGCCTGTTCCATAGTCAAGGCAGAATCCTGCAGGTTAGGGAACCTTTCTGTAACTGATTGCCACTTAGCTGATGCCCTTAGCAGGCCCTGGGCTCTCGGAGGATGTTAAAAACGTTGTGGAGCCTTTCTCTAGAAAGATGAACCTGTGCTTATGTGTGTGGGATTCTGTAGCATTGTTGTCTTGGAAAACCTATCCATGTGTCATGGCCTAGGGTTTACATTCTTTTGTTTTTTTTTGGGGGGGGGGTTCTTAAAGCTTTTTATTATAAAAGTAAGTTCATAATAATTTTACAAATTATGGGTTTCACGATATGTATATATCGTACTTTAATCATTTCTACCCCCACTACCTTTCTTTGTTTCGCATTTTATTTTTAATAATATATTCATTAGTGCCTGTTAATTTTTCAGAACATTGGGTTCCAGTGTGGTATTTTCAGTACATGCATAAAACATATTTTGATCAGGTCCATTCCTCTTTTCTCCCAGACTTATCCCCTTCATCCTGTCTAGTTATAGTAGCCTTTCCACTTACATGCCAACCCTTGGGATGTTTTTATGGACCCACTCTTAAAATTTCTCTTCATAAAGTTTCACTGTAAGACAGGTTTTGGGCAGTTTTTGTTATTTATTCTCACAGTCAGCAGAACCCTGCTAGCACGCTCCGTTTGTTAGCTGCTTGGACAGCTCTTGGAGATTCAGGGTCACCAGGATCATCCGTTAAGCACTGGCCGTGTGGCTGACAGGGAACGGCGATCCTTAAGTACATTATTTATTCTCTCCATTACGCAGTGAGGAAATAGTCCGCTTAAGATTTGGTAGCCAGTGAACGGTGGAGCTGGTGTTTGAACCTGGGTGGAACCCCCAAACTTTTTGCAGTTTCATGAAATAAGCACTGCAAGCCCCAGGAGGCACCTCGAGCAGCGGGTGTTCTAGTAGTTCAGTTTCAGATTCTTGCCTGGGTTTATGTAATAAGAAGCGCTCTGTGCCTTAGCCTCTTGGCGATACTTTGCAGAGCCACTGAAAATGTTTCAGGATGTGATGCTGCTGCCCTTTTGCTTCTGTATTTTTAAATGTGCATTGCAGTCAGCATTTGACAGATGCCCACTGATGCTCTTGCCTGAGTTGGACAAATTGTTCACGTTTGAAAATGTCTTGTCAGCCTTCAGATTCTGCGTATCATTAAAAATTCTATGCAGACCGCCTGTCTGTCACCTTGCAGAGTGGAACTCGCTGGTGCAGCGTCCCCTTCCTTCTCACAAGCTGCTGTCACCGGTGCTTTGGCGTCACACTTGGAAGTCGGCAGAAAAGCTGTTTGTTTTGAGCTGAGGTTTTTTTGCCCACCCATAATACAGATGTTCTCATAATTTCCTCCCTTCAGCCATTTTATAATCATAAAGAAGAGAAAAGGGCAAAGTGTATGAGTAATTGCAACATTAAATTACGAGAGCAAACCATTTGAGTTCTTTAAAATTACCTTTTCAGCTTAATTTCGATCACCAGATTCTGGAACAATAAATGTCTTACACTGACAGGCCTTATGAACACACCATTTACTTATCAGTGGACACTTCTACCTCTTGTTCTCAGAAACATTATTTTATACTCTTGCTGATTCTAATTGTGGTAGAGCCTAGATGTGACTTCCAAAGTTTGCATAATGAGCACAGCACACAGGCAGTGGTCGGCCGGAGCTGCTTTCCCATCTCTGGATGTAAATGTCATGAAGCGGCATTTGATGATTCTCTGTGTAAGTGTTGATTTGCATTTAATTCCAGGGCGATTTGATGAAACTGTCATAGAAGAGAGAAGACAGTGTGCCGAGGACCTGCTGCAGTTCTCTGCCAACATCCCTGCTCTTTACAACAGCAGGCAGCTCGAAGACTTTTTCAAGGTTTGTTTGTCTTTCCGGAATATTTTGCATCTTACTAAACACTTTTGTTTTCTAATTTATAGTAAATGCAAGTAAAAAAACCCTCTGTTATCCACTAAAAAAATAGGAGTTAGTAACTAAATAAGCAAGTTAGTAGCTAATAAGCATAAGTAGCATATGTTCTGTTTTTTGGTGTAGAAATGTATATGATTTTTGATGCCTAGGTTTTAAAAAATTGCTAACTGCAACAGTCTGGGAGGCCGAGGGAGGAGGATTGCAAGGTTTAACCCAACCTGCACAACTTAGTCACTTAGTGAGATTCTGTCTCAAAAATAAAAGGGTGGGGACTTGGGATGGTCATAGCTCAGTGCAGAGGCTCTGAGTTCAATTTCCACACCCCACCCCCCAAAGGCAAAGGATTTAGGGATTATCTTATTCTCCCTATCATAATAAAAACATGTTTTTAATAATTAGGTATTATGAACCTTCTCTAGTTATTTTCATTCACCTTTGAGTTTTCTTTCAGTGACAGACTTCTCTTTGGGATTTAAACCACTACAAGCCCATATTACATTTGTTGTAGTTAGGTTAATTTGTGTAAAGATATAACAAAATGGTCACTGAACAGACTTACAGAAGTAAGCCAATGTGCATTATATTATCTGTGATCACATTAGTGTTTTCAGACTCTTGGCATGTAATGCTTTAATTCTAGGTTCTTTACTATTTTTAGTAATAACTTTCTAATTTTTGAACTGAGCCTGTGCAAGGTGTCAGCTGGCATCAGATTTTAACCACCACATTTCCCAGTTGCATGCAATTAACCTTTTAAAAAAAGATGAGGTGATTGTGTCATAGTTGTTTCTTTTTTTCCTTATCTGCAAATGTACCCATTTATATGAATTTAATTTCTTAGGATTTATAAGCAGCAAGGTATATTAATAGCGAGATACTTAATTTTCCTGATGCTAGTGGATCTACACAGAAAATTTATTTTCTGTGACCTCGTTTAGCTTACTAGAGAAAGCTGATCTTTGGAAAGACGTTGTCTGCAATGTCACTTTCATTAGTCTGCAAGCTAGGCTGATACGAATGTGGCTGCTGCTATGGACCAATGGGGATCTTCAGGATCAAGGCTGAGACGGACCAGGGATTCCACTCGTACCGCTCTCTGTCAGTGTTTCTGTCTGGCAGGAGGTCTGTGCTTGGAGGAGAAGGCTTTATTATTGAGCTAGAGAAATTTTGCTTTGTGGAATTGTGAAAGGCAAATTAACTCACATCTTAGGGCTAAGGAAACAAGTCTGGGGATGAATGAATGGTGGATCGTAGACCTCAAGCAATGGAAATAAGAGTTACCTGTTCATTTTAGTATTTGTTTTGGATCTCGGAGTTCCATGTTGTAATTGCTTCTGGAAAGCATTCACTTTTAGATTTAGAAATGAGAAGAAGATACTTGCTCTTAGAATTTGTGAAAGATTGGACAGGTTTTTTTTTTTTTGTGACAAGGTCTTGCTATGTAGTTTAGGCTAGCCTTGAACTCACTATGTAGCCCAGACTGGCCTCAAACTTGTGGTAATCCTCATGCCTCAGCCTCCCCAGTGCTGGGATTACAGGCGTGCGCCACCATACCTGGCAAGATTGGACAGTTTAAGAGAAGGGCAGCTAATTGTAGAAAATACCCTGGAACTGTTTTATGCTGTTCGCTGAGCAGGAGCAGGATGCTGATTTGGGAATATTGCAACAGTAGTATTTAGTTTTTTTAAATAGAGAAAAGAAAATATGATCTTCAGGGCTATTTATTTGCCAGCAAAACAAAACACTTCAAACCAAAACTTGCCATATTAACGTTTGAAAGGGATTTATTTGACTTATCTCTTGCTTAGGCAAGGGAGGTTGTCTAGAGCTGGCACAGAGCTTAGTAATGTAACCAAGGGTCTGGATTTCTGGGCTTGGGTATGAAAGGTAAAGAGTCAAAAGAAGTGGGCCAGTTTGAAATGCTTCCCAGGAAGTCTGGGTAGGCAGTCCTCACGTATCATCAACCAGAACTGGCTCAGATGTCCTTACTGTGGTGGAATATGGCAAGGGGACTCTGAGCTTCCTAATTCTCATGTTAGGTGAGGATGTGGGGCAGGATTTTGAGTAGCCAATTCATAGGGTGGGCCGCAGTAATCAAGTGTTTTTCTCTGCAGAAACAGTGATGATACCACATGCAAATGACCACACAGCAACTTGATTAGACTGACTTTTCTTTTGAACATTCCTCTATTACCCATCTTTCACCTTCAGAAATTAATAGTGTATTCCCAAAGCGCTTCATGTATACGGTGCATTCCCATCACATACAGTACTTTCCCAACTTTCCCATCACAAATGTATGTGGTTATATATTTATTAATGACAGCTTTATTGACACCTTAAAATTACCAGTTGTAGGTGCGATTTCACTGCTTATCAGTACACTTACAGAGCCATGGAGCTATCACCACCAACCAATTATAAATCATGCCCGTGACCTCAGCCAACCCCTGGGCCCTTAGCCTAGTGATGCCCTTCCCATTCCCTGGGCAGGCACCTGCTTCTGTCCCCAGATTTCTCAGCATTTCAGATACATGGGATTATATAGTAAGTGGTCTTTTGTTCTTGTTTCTTTAACTTAATGTAATGTTTTTGAGTTCATCCATATTCTGTCACGCACCAGCATTCCATTCTTTCATGTTCTTGAGCAGTATTCCGTTATGGCACCTCACCTTTAGTGGGGAGGTGTGTCTCAAGATGTTTCACAGATGTCTGAAACCACCTGCAATAACCAAATCCTCTATATGCTGTTCTTTTCTATTCACACATAAAATAAAGCTCAATTTATAAATAGGCAGTAAGAGATTAGCAAGAATAAATAATAAATTGTGAGCAATGATCACAGTATACTGTAGTAAAAGTTATTTAAGCTGGGTGTGATGATATATCCCCATATTTCAAGCATTATGGGAGGAGGGAGGTTAAGGCGAAGAGGGTTGTAAGTTTGAGCTCGGCCTGGGCAATTTAGTGAGAGTCTGTCCCAAAATAAAAGATAAGAAAGGGGCTAGGTGTGTCACTCAGAAGGCCCTGGGTTTAACCCCTAGGGTCCCCAAACACAGTCGCTGACTTCACTTTCCTCATGGCTAGTAATACTTAACATGATTTCCTGAGCTTATTTACGTGTCTTGTTTGGTGCAAGGCCTATTACAATCCACTGTTTTAGCCAGGCATGGTGGTGCATAACTTTAATCTCAGCACTCAGGGGGCTGAGGCAGGAGGATCACTGCGAGTTTGAGGCCAGCCTGGGCTACGTGGTGAGGTCAAGACCAGCCTGAACTGCATGAGACCCTGTCTCAAAAAACAAACAAAAACACCTCCCACAACAGAAACACCTGCTGTTTTGATTGGTTTGTCTTGTTGAGTTGTGAGGGTTCTGAATATGTTCTGGAAAGAAGTATTTTTTCAGCCTGTGGTTTGTAATATTTTCTTCCATTCTGTAGTATATCCTCATTTTTCTCATGGTGTCATTTGAAGCACAAAAGCTTTTGTTTTGATGACATATAAAAATCAATGTTTTTCTTTTTTGGGTCATGTTATTGTCATATCTAGAGGTTTTTGAGTAGCACAATGCCATGAAGATTTTCTCATACGTTTTTTCTAGAAGTTTACATTTAGGTCTGTGATCTACTTTCAGTTATTTTTTGTGTGTGGTCAAAGTCATGATCTAAACCTGATCAATGGTATTATCAGGTATTAAATACTCGTGTGTCTTTTGGCACGCGAATATCTCAGCACCATTTGTTGAAGAGACTGAATTGTGTCGGCTCTGTCACTGAATATAAGTTAACTGTAAGTGTAATGGCTTATTTCTGGCCTGTTGGTGTGATCTGTTCATCTGTGTGCTTGTTCTCACACCAGCACCTTACTCACTTCATTACTGTACTGTGATAAGTTTTGAAATCAGATAGTATAAGTTTGCCCCTTTTATTTTTTCTTTTCCAAAGTTCTTAAGGCAATTTTGAGTCTTTTGAATTTCCATAAATTTTTCTTTTCATCATCATTCTGTTTGTAATGAAAAAAAAATTCTTGTAGAACTTTCTTTTTTGTCTTTTTGAGAGAAGGTCTCACTATGCAGTGCAGGCTTGCCTTGAACTCACAGCGATCTTCCTGCCATTGCAAGTGTGGGCCACCATGCTCAGCCTTCCTCATAGAACTTTTAACTCTGAACTTCATTTTGGAAAATGTCATCTTGATAATACTGTGTCCTAATTGGTGAACATAAAATGGTTGTCCATTTATTTAGCTATCCTTTAATTTCTCTTGGTAGTGTTTTATAATTTTCAGGGTATAATTTTTGTGTTTCTTATGTTAATTTTTTGTGAAGAATTCTAATCTTGTTTTGCTAATAGTGAATAGAATTACATTTTTTAACTCATTATGCTTTAAAGCTTCATCCATGTTATATCCTGGATTGGCACCTCATTCCTTTTTATGGCTGTATAATACTCCTTTCTATGGCTTTGAATAAGCTGCAATTTGTTTTACCATTTATCAGTTGATACACATTTGGGTTGTTCTTCTTTAGCTGTTATGGTGCCATTAAGAATATTGGCATATGACTCTTACAGGGACATACATTTTCGTTTCTTTCTTGGGAGTGGAATTGACATAGGAAGATTGTTAATTCTAATTCAACTTTTTCTTTTTTTTTGTCTTTTTGAGACAGGGTCTCACTATGCAGTTCAGGCTGGCCTTGGGCTCACTTTGTAGCCTGGGCTGGTCTTGAACTCACAACAGTCCTCCTGCTTTAACCTGCCGAGTGCTGGGATTACAGGCGTGCACCACCACGCCCGGCAAAGTCAACTTATTGTTACACGTCTGTTCTAATTTTTTTTAGTTTTGGTAACTTTAGTCTTCTTTAGGAATTTTCATCTAAATTGTATACTTTGTTGATATAAAGCTGTTCATAGTATTCCTTTACATTTAGCTTTCTTTTTAAAAAGTTTGATCTCATTTGTTTATTAGTCTTAAAAAACCTTAGTTTGGACTGAACTCGGGTCTAGAAATGGAAGCTTTCAGACAGGACAATTGGATCTCGTGACAGCCTGTTCTAACAGTTTCCTTGGGGACACGAGTGTTTAGAGCATGGGACTGTTGGTAGAGGGCAGGACGAAGATGGCGAGGAGCGGGAGCATTACTATTCCAAATATTTATAATTGCTCAAGCGCTGTAAGCTCTTCTGTCTTTAACTGTTGTATTCAGTCAATAAAGTCATAGTGCAAAGCCAAGTTGCTTCTCTGCTGATGTGTTCTCTAGTTGCGCGCAGAGAGTAGAAGAAGATACCTTATGAAGCCGTGACCTGCAAACCTAGTCTGAGTAAAATGATGGTGACAGAGGCATCAATTTTACATTTATTTCTATACCTTTAACAAAGTTTCTCTTTACTGAAAACATCTTAAATTGTGTTAATTTCACCTGTGCGGTGTATAAATGATACTAACTTCAGTGGCTTCCCAGCTTACCCGAGCTGCTATTATGTGCTGTTGCAGTTTATGATTTGATAAAATTCAGTGACTTCCCCGTGGGTTCCATCAGTTACCACTGAAGTGACCCGTCCCTGAGGACACTGAATAACACTCTTCAGCTGCTGGCTTTTTTCTTGTGCATTTTCTCTGTGAGAGCTTTTGACAGATTTAAAATAACACACTTTTGTTAAAAGCCACATACTATTATAAACATGATAACCTTATTTTACATTTTAAATAGTAGACTGTTTTTGGAGTAGCTTCAGTTTAATGGAAAATAAGAAGTGTTTTCCCTTGTGCCCCTCCCCAGTCACACCCTACTTTCCCCCTGTTAACATGCATTGGTGTGGTGCATTTGTTAGAACTGCTGAACCGGTGCTGAGACACCTTTTTTTAAAGCAACTGTAATCTACTTTCATAGATTAGTAGTTTCTGTAATCCTTATACTGTACTTAGTTGAGGTAACTCATATTTGTTTAATTTTTTTCATACTCCCGATGACAAGAAAACACAACTGCTCTGATCTTTTCTAGGGTGGCATAATTAATGACGGTTCTGAATTAATTGGCCCTGCTGAAGCTTGCTCGGATTCCCTTGCTGATCCCATTCCTGAGAGTAGCACAGAAGGTAAGAAGCTTTATATAGTTTTTGCACTTCAAAGATTTGATTGCAGAAGACTACAGATCATATCTGCATTGCCAAAAAAGTAGATATACATAGGAATTTGAAGGTCTTTCATTATTTTAAGCCCCCCACCCCCATTTTAACATCACTGATTTGGGTGCACTAATCCTGGGAAGACGATTTCTCACATGTAATTGACAGCTTTTTTTCTTCCCTCCTAGTGGTATATAAATTAGCAAGTCGTTGTACAGTTAATGGTGTCGTAGATTTGGTGACATGGTATAGTAAGTATGTTAGAATTTAGTAAGGCATTCTGATGTAGAAGGCAGTACAATTTGTCATGTAAGTCTGCCTTACTAAAGTTTATGTAGCAGAATCTGACTTTTACACAATGAGTTTCAAGGCTGGCTTTGAAAATTTAGTGATTTACCCAGAAAGAATAAGCCTAAGGCAGTTTTTGTGTTTTTGATATATCTTGTAATAACATGAATCTAAACAAAAGCAGTTTTTGTACTTTAATCAGCTTAATTCAAGAATATTTAATTTTGTTTGATTCCTTGAATTCATGTACTTGAATTTACATGAAGATTTTCATATGTGCGTTTTAACCTTTGCAGTTTTGTTACTAATTTTCTTTGTGGGAAAATTAGGGAATTTTAACTGAGAGAGAGATTGGAGGATGGGGGAGGTCTTTAAAGAGAAAATAGATTTATTGAAAGAACATTAGGCTTGACTGACTAACGGTAGGAGGTTGGACTACATAATATCTGTTGATGTCTTTCACGACTGAGAGTTGCTGGTAGAGGACAATGCTTTGTGACTGACATAAGAGATCGCCACAGTCTCACTGCAGTGCTGTCTCCAGTGTGTGTGTGTGTGTGTGTGTGAGAGAGAGAGAGACAGCCGCATTGACATAGATCTGCTGCCGAACATTCCCGTCTGGATTTAGTAAAGATAGCAAGTCCTGTGTGCTGTGTGGGATGGTGTACTTCATCTTTTCCTTTCCTCTTTTTGGTGCTGCCATATTGAGAATTGTTAGTTTTTTTTTTTTTGAGACAGGGTCTCGCTATGCAGTTTAGGCTGGCTTTGAATTCTCTTTGTAGCCCAGACTGGAGTATTGTTGGTTTAGCTTTTAGTTTTTTTCTTTTGCCTCTTCTTGACTTACAAGCAAAGTCCATTTGGTTAAGCCTGGGGTTGTTTAATGTAAGGAGGACACATGTCTCAGGGCCTCCACTGAGCCTGCAGTACCATTAACTCCATCCTGATTCTGCGTAGAGATCATAGAAAAAACGTTGTTGACAATAACTTTATAATATGTCATGCTTTTTGGGAGAAAACATCTATTCGTAAGAATAAAAGATTGTCCATGATCTGTTTTAATCAGAGACCTCTGGTAGGGCTTTGCAGAATGTAGACTATTTCTCTTTTTGTCTTTATGATACAAGAGGCAAAGGCTGCATGATGAAGCAGTGGCTGTATTCTTTTGATACCCACAGTGCGTCTTTATTACTAGGTGGGAGTTCACCATGATGAGGGAAGGGTATCTGGAGCCTGTTTGGGCTTCAATAATCACTGGTGGAAGCAGTACCAAGGTGGCTTGTCTGTAGTTGGAGTCCAGGAGAGGGGCGGAGGAGCATTGATACTAGGGATGATTTTCTTAGGACAGTGTTCCAAAGTATTGATGGCTGCTCAGGGTGAACACGTGGCTGTGTCAGTGCTGAAAGAGATACAGCTAGGGTGGACCTGTAGTTCATTGTTTGCTGGGATACTTCTGAGGAGCAAAGTTGGTGCTGTGTTAATAATGGCAGCAAGGCCACAAGCATGACTTAGAGCCGCCCTGGCAAGCTGGCCTGCATGGGTGACCCTTGTAGACTTCGCTTTTTTTTTAAATCTCTGAACTTTTAATACAATGTGCTCCTTGGAAGGATTTATCTTTTATTTTATTTATTTTAAAGGGAATAAAATAAAAAAAAAACAAAATAGTAACAACATAGACAAAAACAAAATAAAGCAAAGACAATAAAAATGATACAGGGTTTAACACAAAATGATAGGAACTAACAGTGGTTGTCATATTACAAATTGTTATCTTCAACGAAGTTGCTCAGATTACCAGATGTAAGAATGCAAGACTGATCAAATTTATCTTTTAGAAATCACATTTCTTTTATGAGAGAAATTGGAACCAACATTTCTGTTAAAAAGACAAAAAAAGACTCATGACATTTACAACTAACAATGACTTTTTAAAAAATCTTTTTGAGACCGGGTTTCACTATGCAGTTCAGGTTGGCCTTGAACTCACTTTATTGCCCAGGTTGGCCGTGAACTCGCAGTGGTCCTCCTGCCTCAGCCTCTGGAGTGCTGGGATTACAGGTGTGCGTCACCATACTCAGCCAATGACTGTTTATGCTGTCAGTTCAGTTTTTCAGCTCCATTGCTATCTAACCACACTGGGGTCCACAGGAGCAGACAGCATGGAAAGGGAAAAGCTGTTAATGCTTGTGGCCCCCTCCCAGCCTCTATGCCTGGTTGTGAATCCTTCTGAATGACACCTCATTGACAAATACAGATAGAAGAACGTGTCAGACAGCTTGCACATTCATTGGTCTTTGAGAGGGAAATGGCTTGACTGTCATGAGATCGTCTGGCACGATGGGAAGGTAAAAGGCGTGCTTGGTGCCAAAAGATCTGGAAACTACAGAGGTGACTCGGGGAGAGAGCAGAAGAGTAGGAGAGCTTGTAGCCAGCCAAGCCCCACAGGTATGCAGTGAAATAGAGGTTGTAGAAAGATTGTGCTGATAAATGCACATGGTTTGAGTTTAAAGCCAAAATGTGAGGTGATTCACTCTCTAACAGTACCTCTGAGGTTAGTATTTTAACTGATGGTTTGAAGGTGGATTCCATGTTTCCTACTTGTGAATTAGTAGAATGAGCCAGAGGGGCAAATCTTAGTACATAGTCTCTTTCAGTTACAACTAATAAAGACTTTATTGTAGAATGGTGTGGTGTATTGATCTGTATTCTATTACCGTAACAAAATACCCAAGACCAGGTGCTTTATAAAGAAAAGAAGTTTATTTAGTTTACGGTTTTGGAGGCTGGGAGAGTGGCCCATCTCTGTGGTCTCTGAAGAGGGGCCCTTTGGCTACCTCATAGTGTGGTAGAGAAGTTGAAAGGATGGGAAATAGCTGTGTGCAAAAGGAATCACAGGGTGAGACAGGAGGCCAGGGACTGGACAGATGATCTAGAGCCCTGCCTCCAGTACTGGGAATTGAACCCAGGGCCTTTGCACTGAGCTACACCCACATCCCTTTGTTTATTTTTGTTTTGACAGGGTCTCACTGAGTCACTACATTGTCCAGGTTGGACTTGAGCTTGTGATACTCCTGTCTCTGCCTCTCAGAGTTCTGGGATTATAGCTCTTTTTATAATATCCACTCTCTTGGGAACTCATTGGGGTCCCAGGAGAATGGCATCAATTTTTACTGACAGTGCTGTCCCCAGTGACCTAATTTCATCCCAGTAGGTCACGTAGCTTGCTGGCCCTATGGCATTGTCACCGCCATGCCGAGGGCTGAGCTTCCAGACACACTCACGGGGCCCAAGCCACGGCCAGGCCGGAGTGTGCGGCGTGCTTGTCTCTTCTCTGAGAACAGAGGCAGAGGCCAGGCCATCGTTATTTTTGTTAGTTCCTGAAAAGTGCAACCAACACATCCCACTTCACTTTGAAATGAAAGTTCTGATGAAAACACAACAGTCTGTGATTTTTGTTTTGAAATTAAAATTATTTTATACTATTGTGGAATTGAGAAACCCCTTGGGATTTCATAAAGAGTAATTTGGTGATTTATTTTTAAGTAACTAATTTTTTTTAGTATGAAACTGGAAATTACAAAATTTGTCAGTTTTTAGATAGGTTACTAGCATTTTATGTTTTTAAGATAAAATGTTTGTTATTCTTTATCTCCTTTGTCCAAAACAAGCTGTATTTTCTCCAAGATGAAAGGTGATCTCATTGGCTGCTAATGTCTTCCATATGAAGTCTCAGTCTTTTGTTGGACGTGAACTTAGCCGTGAAGTTACGGTGACATGTGTGGGACCCTGCCCAGAGTGCTGCATGGGGACTGGGCTCTTGACGTGCTTCCCTCATCTGGGGGCCCGTTTGAAGGATGTGAGTTGCCTTGTTGCTGTGCTGGCCTTGACATCGGTGCCTTTGATGTTGGCCCCCTCTCGTCTGATAACCTGTGTCATTTCCTCTTCCTGATACATTACTTCCACTGCAGCTTTGGGAGGAATGTTTTCCAGGCTCGTGCAGCAAATAAGATAAAATAATTCGGTGGTCACAACCACAAATACGGACGGAGAGATCAGCTTCTTGTATGTAGCTCTTCTTAAGGGTGAAATTCTTAATGCCTCCGTAGTAGTAACACCTACTGGCTTCGGAGGGTGGGCCTGTAAGTTACAGATGAAGAACTCCCAAGTGCACACTGTAGTCTTGAATTAACCACTTCGGGGTGAACGTGGTGTACATTTGAGAATAGCATGTGTTGCTGGTTTTCATAAGGGATTTCTTAAAATGACAGTTAGTCCTATCAGATAATATTCATATGTTTACTTCATGGCAAGGTACTAATACTTTTCCTGTATGTAGACAGGCACCGAGATTGTAAGTAGACTATTAAATTGAACAGTGTTGACTATATTTAAAACATTGGGGGACTAACAGGAAGGCATATGGTTATTTAAATTTCATAAAAACCTGGTATCAGAGTATTCATTTTCTATTATTTGTGTTATTTTCATTTAGTGTATTATATATCTTGAGGCAGGATCATTTTGAACAGGAACTTTCTGTGGTTGTTTGATTTCCTAATACTCTAAATCTATGTTTAAGATTAGTTTAAAGTCTATGCAATACAGGGTGCAGTGTAACAGAAAGCCTAATTAAAAGTAATTCAAATTTCAAGTAAAATTTTTATTCTACAAATGTCCACTAGGTG